ACTGAGGTATTCATTTTACAAGAAAGTATATTATCACTGAAAATGTGGTGACATTTTATATTTATTTGCCTATTGAACTCCAGGCAACCCCAGCTCTGTGATGAGTCCGGCAGGTGCTCCACAATCAGAGGACCAGCTATACATGGACAAACTCAAACAGCTCTCCAAATACATAGAGCCACTGCGCAGGATGATTAATAAGATTGACAAAAATGAAGGTATTTTTCATGCATTTTTTCCCTTCTCCTGGTGTTACATTATCCTGTTTAACAATTACTCCATTTTCCTGCTACCCTAACAGACAGGAAGAAGGATCTGAGTAAGATGAAAAGTCTGCTGAATATTCTCACTGATCCCAACACAAGGTGAGCATATGTTCTTGATTTATACTTTCAGTTTAGGAGATGGAAGGTTTTGGAATAACCTTTTAATTACCCTTCTCTTCCACTAGATGTCCTCTAAAAACACTACAGAAGTGTGAAATAGCCTTGGAGAAACTCAAGAATGACATGGCAGTGGTGAGTTGTTTATTGTTCTGCCATTTATTATTATTTTTCAAAATATTTTTTTTTTAATTTAAGAATATTTGTAGCATAATCAACAATATATAATTCATTATATTTACTTTGTATGTATTTACAATTAATTTATTATATTGTTCCTCAGCCCACTCCACCTCCTCCAACAGTGCCCAGCACCAAAAAGCAGTATTTGTGCCAACCCTTACTGGATGCTGTCTTAGCAAACATTCGCTCACCAGTTTTCAACCATTCTCTTTATCGAACGTTTGCTCCTGCTATGACAGCCATACACGGACCGCCAATCACGTGAGTGAAACTAAAATCACTTTGCTTTGAAGTAATCTCAAAAATGCAGTAGCCTCATTTCATGAATTAACATTCTTACAATAGAGGTGATTAGGTAACAAGTTAGACTCAAAGGATGTTTGATGAACAACAATACTGTTATATAATTTCATCACCTCTCTCACTTCCCATGCAGAGGGCCTGTAATTCCTACTCGTAAGAGGAAGTATGAAGATGATGATCGTCAGACCATTCCAAATATACTGCAAGGGGAAGTAGCTCGTCTCAGTTCTAAATTTCTGGTCAACCTGGACCCATCCTTCTGCAGCAACAATGGGACAGTGCACTTAATCTGCAAACTGGGTGAGTCTGAATGTGAAAAAATGGTCCTTCATGCAGTCCTAGGCCCTTTACTTTAAAATAATATGATTTCTTTCTATCGTCTTTGTTTTTCAGATGACAAGAATCTTCCCAGTGTTCCTCCTCTCCAACTGAGCATTCCTGCAGACTATCCAGACCAGAGCCCTCAGTGGGATGATGACAGTCATCAGTATGGTAAGAGAATGTACAGTTGTACTTACAATTCATTAAGGCTACTAAAATACTGCTCAGACAGGATTAGTTTCACATGAGGAGGTGGAGTAATGTAATAATTATCAATGTTTTTCAGCGATTTTAGCCCTGTCTGCCATGTTAGTGATTTTCACAGACTGCGCTCATCAGTAAGGCTTTTTTATTTGTATTTTTTTTAAGGGTTTACCTACTATAGAAATAATGTAATGTTAATCACATGCGGACTGCCATGTCGCAATAAATATTCCATCATATCCTGTCAAAAAAAAAGTTATTGGGTTTTTTTCTGAAGTATAGAAGCACTCAAAGAAGCATTTACTCATAATCGCTGTGGCACATCAAACCCATATGTACTGCCCTACCTCAAGTGCACTTTGAATATTAAAATAGTTTTTTTTTATTTTATTTTATGCATCGAATTTTACTGTTGGTTCTAAATTCTCAAGATAATGACACACTGTATTTACTCAAGATAGATACATAGTTAAATTAAATTATGATTAATTTAATGCTTGGACATTTTTCTATTTGTGAGCAGATGAACGCAGGGTTTGTCCTGCATAGAGAATTAGGAGGCGGCCACCTCTGTTAGATTTTGTGCCGCCTTCTATGGAGTTAATTTTGTGCAAAAATGTATGAGAGAAGATTGTGATGTTTGAGAATGGAATATTACACTTTGAGAGGACAACAGTGCTCTGAGTGCGCAGCTGATGAACTTGAATGCACCTGTCAGCACAAAGTGTGCAGGTAAACACCTTTGGATTTTCTCAGCAAAATACTCAGGTTTCACTCAAACCTTGAAAATTGCTCAGTGGTGCTCTTCACATTGAAAACTCATACGTGCACAAACCTTTCTCAGGTTTCACATCTGCTCGATGTAAAACGTTTGAATATTTGTGTCAAAAGTCCAGCCAATCCTGTTTTTCCAACCAATTGCAACAGGGTTTACTGAAAACGTGCATGATGGTTGGTCAAGTCGAAGTACGAGGAGGCCAAAAGTGACCGCCCACTTTTTCAGCGGCTCTGCTACCAGAAGTATAAATCCCATTAATTTTCTGCAGACATTTTAAAAAATCCTTGTATGAAGAGTTTTAAGCACTCAACCGAACTAATCAGCTAAGACATAAATTATGACATTATACAAATAAAATCCTAAAGCAAAAAAATAAAAAAATAAAAAAAATGAACAAAAAGGTAAAGGTGCAAGACTGCCAATGGTTTCAACCAAATATTTTTACTCCTTTTTCTGTCAAACGTGTATTTTCTCTTTAGTGTTTATGTAGATAATAATGTTTTTTATTATCATATATTTAAGTTTTATGTACATAACATGTTTCCAATTCATCATTAAAAGTTTTAAAAGTCTGTTTATTTTATAATTACTAAAAGGAACTTGAAGGGTAGAGAAAGTTTGAGGCAACATTAATGTGTAAAGAGGATTTTTCTTTGGCATTCAACATTACGCTTCTTGTCTGTGTATTGACTGTGTCTGATAGCCTACTGTTGGATCAGGGTGGAGGAGAGAGAGGTTAGATCGCAGTGCGATGAACAACATATTTCCCTCTTTGCGAAAGTTGTCCTGTTATTCCTGAAACGAAGCAGATAAATCTGGGAGAGAAAACATACATCTTCCACATGAGCTAGTAATTTTAATATTACACAATTCAGGGCATTTTGTCGTCTAGATGATTTTATATATTTTGCAGCGTGACATTCCAGTTTGATCTGTGTGGAGTTCATGTTAATAATATTTATCTGTAAAAACCTTCCACAGCCCTGTACTTGCTACACTACAGTCCACTACATGGCCAGACTCTGATTTTCAGCTCTCTGAACTCTATTCTCCTCTATATCCTTAAATAAACACTTCATATCTGACAGTGAAACTGCACTGCTGCTGCTCGCTGACAGAGACCACTTTGCTTCCACACAGTTTGAATCTCTGTGGTAACCGCGACGTCAGATTAGTGATGCTCACTTTAGGATGAATGGGTAACATATATATATATATATATATATATGTTTTTTTTGTTTGTTTGTTTTTTTTTAACAAAAAACGAGGGCATAAAACGTGATTCTTCGAAAACAATGTTCAAATCAGACTACTGGAACATATCATCATCTCACAATCTCAGAGTTATGGTACGTCTACGTTGGCTGGATAAAATATTGTAGGTAAAAATCTAATTTCCACTAAATTCCAATGACTGAACGCAACTTGACCAATTGGCATAAAGCTGCTTAAGAAACAGTGTCATGATTGGTGTAATGACAGGAACAACCCATCGGAATCTCTTTTTGGGTGGGGTTTTGACACAAACGTTCAAATGTCTTACATTGAGCTGATTTGAAACCTGAGAGAGGTTTGTGGAGTTGGGAGCAAAAATAGTTTGTGCACACATACGAGTTTTAAATGTGACAAGAACAGCAGAGCAAGTTTTCAAGTTTTGAGTGGAACCAGAGTGTTTTGCAGTTAAACAGGGTAGCGAGTTTAAGGAACAGTAACAGCAGTTTATGGAAGACTGAAGGGATGGGAAAAGAAGTAATTAAAGAAAAATTACATAACAAATATGGTAAAAAAGGAGCAATGATTTGGTTAAAAATCTAATGGAGAATTGGTGTAATACTCATACTTGGCAGTTAATCACTGTGTGATGTAGGTCGTGTTTCTGCAAAATGGACCTCACCAAAATTTTTATCCTAGTTATGGCCCTGGGTAACACTTTTACAACAGCTTTACTCTAAAAGTTTCAAAAACTAATATAAAATAGTAATTTTAAAAAAATATTTTCAGAGCTAATTATTAGAACTAAAAATCGCAGCTTGTAAAAAGTGTATGCATGAGCCAGCTGAAGGCACATGTGTGGATGGTACCACATCTGCCTCATTTTGAGCCGCCAGGAAAAACCCTGGAACATATTGCATATGGAGCTTTTTTTGGTGTGATGATAGTGTGTAAATTAAGTAGCCGTTGCCTTTGTAATACATTACCCCACCTCCCCAGTTAATCCTGTCTGAAAAGTAGACTGACTACGTCTGTAATAAAGTAGTAATTTGGCGGGATTGCTAGGTAAAAGTGAAAGGTAGTTCTCACCAATTAGTTTTAATTGCATAATAAAAGTCTAAATACATTTTTTTTTCTCTCTCCCTCCCTCTCTCTCTTTCTCTCTCTCTCTCTCTCTCTCTCCCTCCTTCAGAGGCTAACCCATTCTTGCAGACTGTGCATAAGAACATGACCTCGAAACTCCTTCAGCTTCCTGACAAGCACTCGGTGACAGCCCTGCTAAATACTTGGGCACAAAGTGTGAGGCAAGCTTGCCTCTCTGCAGCTTAGTTTTGGCATTTTCCCAACAATAGCTCTTTTCATCAATATAACCCATTATAGTCACACCTTTCCTGTCTAGTTGTGCCCTTGCACCTGCTTCTGTGAAAATGGTGAGGGGAATTAGTTATTAGGAGTCATTTTTTGCAGTTGAGTCAATAGCAACTTCTAAATGCCAGAAATGAAAACTCTACCTTTGAAATCATTTGTGCATGAATGTTTTTTTATTTACATCAATAAATATTCTTTGCTTCACTAAAGTACACTTACGTGAAACCTTGAGTTTATGAATCAGCCATTCAGTCCAGTTTTAGCATTTAGAATTTGAACTGTGTGAAAGATTCTTCACATTTCTTCACAAACATCATGATTTACTTAGCTAATGTAGATAGCTTGCACATTTGTGACCTTTTTGCCTGTTTCATGTTACTGTTCTGCGTAATCGGCTCCTCTGCATAGCACGGGTTCTCCTCTGTCTCTCAGCAAAACTGATGCTGAGGCTTTGTTTGAGGGCAGGAAGAATCATTCTGTCCACCGTGTTGGCTTGGCACACTGGTCTGTCCCTACAAACGGGAGAGATTAGGTCAGTATAATAACTCTAGAGCTAACTTTAAGTGTACTTTGTATAGCTTTTGGTACAAACTGCAACTTACAGCCCTCTGGACAGTGCGTGAAAAGGAAGCTTTGGGAACTTCTCTCGTTCTTCAGTTCTGTCAAGAAGGAAATTGTGAAGAATAAACCTTTTTCAGTTTCTAAGTCGTCACATTTGGCTGTAAATAGTAGTGTATCAAACTTGCGCCTGCATCGTTTAACAAAGTGGCAGTGGAGGGTTGCCGGGAGCCTGTCCTTAAAAAATTGTCTTTCAACCTCAGCACAGTTATTAGGAGAGGAGAGTTTGACTTGGCCAAAGCACGTTGCTCAAAACAAACATTTGAACTTTGGGTGAGCCTGCGCGTCTTCGTGCCCTGAACACCACAACCAACACAGACACAGCATCGTATTTCTACATTACAGTAAACTAATCACCAGGCTGCTGTGGTGACAAGTTTCTTACGGTTTTTAAGCAAACCTCTGTGATGACAGGATTGTAAATACGCTAGTGAATAAATGTTTATCTTGCAGCTGAGTATTTTTAATCACAGATGTGAGTAAATCTGTCCTACTGTACAGCCCACATTTGCTCTCCAGTTCAGTTTTACCTGCTATTTTTGATCGGTTACCACATTGAAAGTGACACATGACAAGCAGAGCTTTTTAGCTAAAGTTAAACATTTTTAAACTTGAAACTCAGATAAGGCTGTTTAGATGAACTATTGGTGCATTTAGATTTGCAGCAATGATTTTGGGCATTGTTTACAGCATGACCGGAAGCCGTTTAACGCTACTATTTATTCTTCCGCATTAGCGAACACGGAAGTGTGAGAATGGTCTATAGGTTTTTGTTGTAAATAAAGACAACAGGGGAATTTGTTTACCTTTGATCATCAGCAAGATAGGCTTTGGTCAATATGTAATTCTCTGGAGTGATTCTCTTGTTGAAAACGATGTCCCTAAGTACAGCCTTGATGCGGAGTATCTGGCAGAGGCACAAACCATGAAGAATGCTGAGTTGTGAGACAGAATCACAACCTGCATACATAAAACAAAGAGAAATGGGAAGAAATATTACTGCACCCACTTCTTGGGACTGTAGGCTGTTAGCGTTGTAGAGCTGCCGTATAATGACTTCACACTCCTGCAGGGTGGGGGCTCTTGGGGGCTGGGATGGGTTGCAGTGGATTCTTAAAGGGTGTAAAGAGGTGATGAGGCCCCCTTTGGCCACTGAGACCAACTCAGGCCCACCTGCTGTTGTGGTCTCTGAGGCATCCTCTCCATGTTTCATCTGATGGCTGAAATGTTAGTTTCATAATCAAATAGAAAAACGTTCATCCTAAAAGAGGAATTCCTTTCATTTTTAAAAAGACAAACAGCCATTCAAAGTGGTTTGTTGTGAAACCATTGGCCCTGCAATTTAGTCCAAGACTAGGCTTAATCCATGTCTGGGGAAACTAGCCCTAAATGGTAACAAATTTACTACTCAATGTCTGAAATATTGTTTCAGCAAAAAAAAAAAATAATAATAATAATAATCCATTCAGGGCTACAGAGGCAGAGAGGTGCATGGTCCCTAAAGAAAACTTGTTTTTTCAGATTAACTACTTTGTTTTACCATCTTCAAAATTACATATTACACAGCATTACACTCAGAACTCAGAATATGAAAAAAGTCTGATATTTTCTCACAACAAACTCATCCAGAGAGTGTTGGTTACATCTTACCTATTTAATAATGCTAATTATTTACAGTTATTGTCCTATGTGCATCCTTTAAGATGGCATCAAACGGTAACTACTAGTGATGCTTGATACCAATACTGGTATCAGGCCAATACTGTGGTCATTTATTCCTACTCATAAAAATTCACCAATACCATCATCCGATACCCACTGATGACATAAGCTGAATGTACACTGCCACACCAATGAACAAACGACTCGGTGGTGAAAGAGGAGGGTCCTCTCAAATAGAGAAGTGTTGCTGACTCTGTGACAACTGGACACAAAGTCACTGGTCACTTTAAACATTCCTCTGTGGTATATTCCCGCCAGACCTACGCTGTCTGATTTTTAGCCTGTTATTAAACACAATCAAAACTGCTTTCCCGAAAACGGGGACAGACACAAAAACTAGAAAAACAGAGGCAAAAGAGTTGACATTTCCTACCAAAGTCCGTCTAGGACTTTACTCTGTTTGACTGAATAAATTAGGTATAAATGTTAATATGCTGAAATTTTTTTTTTTTGGAAAATAGGCCATAGAGAGACTGTATTGTCCTGCCATGTACAACACTGGCTGGATTAGCTTCAGTGCACAGTGTTCGCAGCTCTGCTCAGATACTCCTTGCTCAGTCGGTGCGCAGTGTGTTATTTTGGATGAAACAGCTTTATTTGAAATTGTTTATGGACAGAGCTGTCTGTAGAGCTGCATTTCACGTAGCATGAGTGTTTTCATACAGTCTGAGTATATAAATCATAAGCTTAAGAACAAGATTTCTGAAATCACCCAAATCTTTAGAGGACATTCAACTACAGCTCAACCAGCCAGACAAAAGTCTTCAGACATAAAACTCCACTGCTTGTCTGATGAGGAACAAAACCCGCTCTACTCCACTGCAACGCTGCTTGATCAGAGGTAACTAACATTGCATAGTTAGCCAATTCACGTCATTTAATATAAGCTAGAGTTTAATGATTTAACCAATAAAGTACGTTGCACTCATTTGCACCAACAATTATTTAATTCTAAGTAGGTTACTCACTATGGAATTGGATTCAGTATAAAAAGTATGTACTCGTGCTCGGTCGGTATCAATGCATCCCTAATAACTACTTCATGTGACATTAACATGGATGCACTGAGCGTGCCTTGCTTACCCAAGGTTTCCATCTTGGGGCAGGTGTATATCTTCTAGTGTCTGTTCAAAGTAGATTCCTTTCTGTGACTGAAATGTATTGGACTCTGGCCAGTGATTTTGTCCTTTGTGACTGGACCCTGAGCAATTGGTGAATACAAAAACACAATGGAACATACTTTCAAATAAGATTCAACTAAGCAGAATTATCTAGAACAGTGGTTTTCAATCCCAGTCTTATAGACCCTAATGGACTGTACTTGTGTGTGTTTTTGGGTTTGCTTCAAGTTATAATTAAGGCCTTTGGGAGCCAAGCCAGATGTGTTAGAACGGGGAAAACAAGTACAGTGCAAGGGACTTAGGACTAGGAACCAGTGATATTGGTAAAGGTAAGTGAAAGTATTTTACTTTTTCTGCAGGACTCTGGAGGCTCCATGATCAGCTTGAACTGCAGGTCTTTGACCCCACATATGGAAAGAGAAGGCATGGCATTGAAAAGACCATGAAAGACCCCACACAGCAGCTTTTAATCTCAATTAACACAGTGAGGTGTCATGTCACTCCTTTATCACGAGCATGAGAGATGATACTTTTCTTTTAAGCTGAAAAATGTCCTTGTGACGGTGGGAGGCCAGTCATTCACTGGCACAAAAGTGCCGTAAAGTGATAGCACACTCTGCCACCCGCTGAGGTTATATAACCCGTTCTTTCATTTTCCTCTTTTAAACTTGATCACCTGCAGTCACTGCTATAAGGTGTCACTCTGTCAACAGGTGCCACTTCCTCACAGCACTCAGGAGGCGATTAAATGTCAATGAAAAAAAAAATCTTTAGGGAAGGTCCGGACATATAGAACAAAATATAACAACAATACATTTTTCATGATTCACAATATGCATGACATTATTTAAGGTGGAACAGAAAAAAGAACCGGTAGTTGCATATTTAAAAAAATTGCCATCAGAAACAAATACAGTGATTTTTATTCAACAATTCTGCACTAATTTTGCTCTCTTTGTCATTAGACATAGTTGCTCAGTGCTCATTCAGTACTGATGATATCCACGATATGTTGATGTAATTAATCACAATAACTATCATCATATTGCCCATCCCTCTTTTAAGATGGATTAAAATATTCTAAGCTTTTAGACAATAGGTGATACTTTACTAAGTTCTTGTTCCAGTTTCCGACAGTGCCTATTGGTGCACTCCTTGAAAATAAAGATTTTAAATATTATAAATTGGCTAATTAGATGAAAATGGTAGTCAAATTCAATAGAATTCATCAGTTTTCCAATAATTGGCAGAAAAAAATGTAAACAATAGCCAAAGTAAAAATTACAAAAATAGCTTTTGTGAAAAAACTTCTTATTTTTATTTTTTTTATTTTCATTAAAAATGTCTAAGATCCAATAAGATTTATTTCAAAAGAATTTCTGCAGAATTTCTAGAAGAAAAAGTACATTTGGACAGTTACTGCAGTTTACTGCACTACAGAATACTAAACAAAAGTTTTACATGTAAGACAGTACATGAATATTAGACAAAGCAAATTTATCTTGGCAGAAACTGTTCTATGTATTACCAAAAAAGGTTCTATGACTTGTAGCAATAGTGGTGCTAGACTATACAGAACCATTTTAAATATATCCTTTGAAGAACCATGTACCACAGGTTTACATTTATGCACTTAAATGGTTCTTCGAGTTATCATGGTTCTCTGATAACTAATGCCTTTGCTAAAGAACCCTTGAGGAACCATTTTAAGGGTGTATATTATTACAGAAATGCCAAACAACACTACAGACTTTTGTATACAACAGTTCTTGTTATCGAGATCGTACAGTAGGACGAAACGAAACCAAAGTGTTTCATCGCTGCGACAGATACAGGGGTTTTACTCGTTATGAGCCTTTTGTAAAGAACTCACCCTTGTTTTGTCGTCTTAACCGCTCTATCTCCGAGTGCAGCTCTCTCAGGGTTTCTCTGTGCTGCTGCTGCAAGAAATCAATCTTCCTCTGCAGTGACACGGCGACCGCGTCCATTCCGAGGAAAGAAACAGCCTCTCCTTTACAAAGAGCTGTTCCTTTAAAAATCACAGCTGCGCTGATTTCCCCCAGTCTGGTCCCTTCAATCGCCTTCAAACTGCTCTTTGTTAACGCTGAAATCTCCGGTGTGACCGAAGTTCAGTCAAAGGCCTCTAGAGACGTTTGTAGAGTTTAATGCTCTCCACTGGTAGATTTGATGTTACTTTTCACAACGTTGTTTGCCAAACCACTGACAAGAAACGCGTAATCTCCAAAGCTGAGTGGTAACAGTGAAGTTCAAATGAAAGACGCTCTCATTAGAGAAGCTGATTCCAGATCAGAGGAGGACTGTCTGGTCTGAGCGCCTCGTTCTGGTTCCTTCCTCTCCTCTCCTGTCTGTTTACACACGTTTCTGTGGTGACATCAGGATCAGCTCCAGTAATCAGTGCCGCAATACACTTCATATACCTACAAACACAGTGTATAATACTACGGAGCCCCGGTGATGACATCGCTTATGAATAAAAATGTGTGGGAACGAGATCCTAATGCGTGGCCACGACTTAGTAAGGTGTGGGAATGAAGTAATAAAGTTGTGGCCATGACTTGGTAAGGCGTGGGAACAAGATCATGCTTTACTAAGTTGTGGCCATGCATTAGGATCTCATTTCCATGCCTTACTAAGTTGTGGCCATGCATTAGGATCTCATTCCCATGCCTTACTAAGTCGTGGCCATGCATTAGGATAGTATAATACGGAGCCCTGCTGGTGACATTCTGTATAAATAAAAATAATACGTGGCCACAACTTAGTAAGACATTGGGACAAGATAATTAAGTCATGGCCACGACTTAGTAAGGAGTGGGAACAAGATCCTAATCCGTGGCCACGGCTTAGTTAGGTGTGGGAACGAGATCCTAATGTGTGGCCACGACTTAGTACAGCATGATCCCGTTTCCACGGCTTAATTATCTCATTCCCATGCCTTCCTAAGTCATAGCGATGCTTTAGGATCTCGTTCCCGAGCGTTAATGAGGCATGGCCACACTTTTTTTTTATTTATATGGTATGTCTTGCCATCTCATTCGAGAACTCTCTGATTGTCCCGTCAGCAGAGGCAAGAAGTCTTGGTGTGCTTCTGGATGGCCAGTTATCGTTCTCGACTCACATTGCGAACCTAACTCGGTCATGCAGATTTCTGCTGTTCAACATCCGGAGGATCCGACCCTTTCTCTCTCGAGAGAGGCCACCCAGGTGCTAGTGCAGTCTCTTGTCATCTCAAGGCTTGACTACTGCAACTCGCTCTTGGCTGGTCTTCCGATGCAGGCCATCAGGCCTCTGCAACTCATCCAGAATGCAGCAGCAAGACTCATCTTCAATCTCCCAAAGTTCAGCCACGTCACCCCACTGCTGCGCTCCCTTCACTGGCTTCCTGTAGCTGCACGCATCAGATTTAAAACCCTTATGCTTGCCTACAAAGCCAAAAATGGACCAGCCCCTCCCTACTTGATGGCAATGGTCAAATCTCGAACTGTACCACGAGCCCTTCGAGCTTCGAGTACAGCTCGGCTTGACCCGCCATCCTTCAAGGCGCGTGGAAGGCAAGCATCTAGACTGTTCTCTGTGCTGGCACCCAGGTGGTGGAACGAACTCCCACTGGCTGTCCGTACAGCAGAGTCTCTCGCTATCTTTAAACACAGACTGAAGACACACCTGTTTATTCAGCACTTAAATGAGCACTAAATTAAGTATTGATTGTAATGTATTGTACAGCACTTATGTATTGTATTGTATTGCACTGTTCTGTGTTTAACTCTGTCCCTTTTTCACTAGGTGTCAATGACCTTCTGATTCTAGCAGTATCTGAGCTTAGGACTGGCTTTCTCTCTAACCTATTGGTAACTAGCGAAGATTCTTTCTCTGGATAGACAAAGCACTTTTTGTAAGTCGCTCTGGATAAGAGCGTCTGCTAAATGATGTAAATGTAAATGTAATGTCACCAGCAGGCCTCCATAGTATAATGTATTGGCTGTATATGTATTAACGTGTATTTCCCCACACACAATAACTGTAAAACCGTACACAGACAAACACAAAGAACAGGCCAATGCAAACTCTAAACAACATTCAAAGTAATTTGTTATAACACAGGGGAATTACACTGATTTTTCAAAATTTAAGGAAAATTCAGGGTTGTGATGTCTACAATGCAAACTTTTGGTAGCACTTTGGTAACTGATTTAGACACTTTGTAGATACTTAATTTACTTTGAAGTTACATTCAACTAAATATCTACTAAATTGACCATAGTTTCTTTAACTCTAAATCTGGCTCTAATCCTAAACCTTAACCTAAACCCAAAACCTAAACCCAACCCTCACCCTGATCCTAGCCCTAACCCTGATCCAAATCCTAATACTAACCTCACCGCTGTTTAGAATCAACTGAGTTTCAGCAGATAGTTTGTTAATAGTTTGAACATCTGTAGATAATCTACAGAGGACTACACTGTTAGAAATAAAGGTGCTGTGCAGGTACATTTTTCATTCAACAAGGTAAAAACAACATAAATGTGCCCTCAAAGGTACAACCGTGGTTTCAAGGTCCAATTGTGTACCTTAAATATGTTTTTCCCAGTGAAAAAAAAAGAATGTTTTAAAACGGAACAATAAAATAAAAAGCCTGGAGACGAGATGAGGTGTGTGGAGTCAGTACAACTTAGAAAATATAATTTCAATGGATTATGGTACAATTATGTTCCCTGACTAAAGCTTCTGAGATGTACCCTTGAGGGTACCACCCCAGTGACAAGAGGGGTACTGCCCCAGTGACAGTTTAGTACCTTCATTTCTGAGAGTGTATAGTGGACTATCCAAATAAAGTAAGAACAATTTTTTTTCTTTTTTTTTACTTTTTGAACTTTGCTATCCAAAATGACCAGTGAACGTACACGTGAGTTTATATATGTAATGTTGAATGTTGGTAAAATAGTGCTAAATCTGGAAAAAAAGAAATTTTCTTTGGATTCAATTTTGCCTGTTTTCTCCATGGTTTTTAAAAATAAAAAAAAAGTCTCTCAAAACGATCTTTCATTTCATGTAGCTTTTACAGGCATTAAACTCTTCAGATTTCTGGAATAGAGCATTTCATTGCACATCAAACCGCTCTCCATGACTCTGTCTACATCTTAACAGTTTAATTATACACATATCATTACAATATTTTAATGTTTTAATACTACTACTTCAATACCACTGGCTTCTGGAAAGAAAAAGAAGCATTAAAAAGCTGAACGGCTTTCACTGACTAAACGCCAGAGTGCAGCTCCTGATAGAAGGCATGGAAAAACCAGAGGGGGTTTGGACTCAGGTAAACCAGACAACACCAGATGAGGTCTGAGAACTTTAAGAGAGGTTAAAGAAGCTCAATGACAGAAGAGATGGAGGATTTGGTGAAGACAATGGCTGGAATGATGATATGGTTTCAGGATAAACTGACTGGATGATTTCAGTGTTTGAAAGAGTGGAAGAGGTCATGACTAAAGAACACCAAAGGATGCTCACCACACTGACTTTTGTCCAGCAGCTGCTGGAAGAGAATTCCAAACTGAGATGAGGAGGACAATGGAGAGAGGCAGCTCACAGAGCAGCAGGTGGAGGCACAGTCTGTTAAGGAAAGGAGAACTCCAGGCTATGTGAGAACACCACTCTGGATAAGGAGCCTGAAGACATCAAAACAAGTTTACACTTACATGCTCAACGTCCTCCTCTTTGTTAATGAATCAATACAAAATGTGTGCATTAAAATATGTTAATCAAAAATGTTGTAATGTCATGATACTGATTCTACATTTTTGACAGTGTAGACTACACATGTATACTGAGCTTTGCTACAATTCTATTTGTTTTTAGTGGTAGTCTCTGGTAGTGTTTAAAAAACTGTCCTAATAAATAACCTAAACCTCAGCCCGTGGGTCGAGCTGAAGAGATTTTATAAGGATGTATCGTCTCCAATCCCTTATTTACCCCACCTCATCCAGCAGAGTGATCTTTTTTTCCTCTTTGCTAAAGGTGCCAATACTTGTGTATCTGAAGGCATTGTATGTGTATTTGAAGTCAGTTTTTAACCTTCAGTCAAAATGCTGTAGATTTTCTGTTTATAAAATGAGAAACTACTTGAGAACAAAAAGAACTGAAGAACTATTAGTCCTGTGATATTCTAAGAGCCATCTATATGTGCAAAAACTGTTTTTTGTTAATTAACAGGCCATTTCAATTAGCAGTAATCGGGCTTCATAAAATGACACTAAACAAACACCGGCTCACCCTGTACATTTTAAAGTTTTCACTATAATTAAGACACAACTGTGAGGCATTAATATGAACATTTCCTTCACTTTTATGCAGCTTTTCTTAAAAATGAGCTAAAATGCAAAAACAAAGTCCAAAAATGCTGTTTTACTATCATGAGTATACAACACTGAACTACAAATGTACTTACGCATTTTAGCTTGTGGTGAGACAGGAATTTGGCCTCCTAATATGGGCCTCATTCACTAACCGTGCTTAAGAAGAAATTTCTTCTTAAATGCCACTTACGCAGTTTTCATGAAGATTCTGACATTCACCAGTGTTTTCTTATTTGGGATTTGTGTCCAAGTTAAGAACAAAATCGACACACTTAAGAACACAAATGATGACTTTTTCTTGGGACCTTTCTCAAGAACTAAGAAAAAACTTAGGAAGGTATTGGTGAATGAGGCCCAATGACTTCATTAAACAATTGCCTAGGTAGGCAATTTTGTAAATTCAGATCATTTGTTAGCTAATGTGCAGTACTGGATTAGCACTACTGAATGCTGTGAATGCCTCTTACAGCTTCATATTAAGTTAGTTTCACGTTTAGTGGTTTGATCAAAACAGCATTTATTACTTGACTTTCATGTTCTTGAACTACAGGCCACAAGTCATTAAAATAACTCTTTTCCACCTCTCAATGATATTTATTTCATTGTTGATTCATTGAGAAATTCATGAGATTACATGGGGCCTAAGCATTCACTTTTTTGTAGCTTATTAGAGTTGGGTGTGGGTAACGACAGTTCCTTACAATAAACTACAGACAGCCAGATCATTGTTGGATTTCCTAAAGACCTTGTTACACTTGGAAGCTTCAGATTGTGCACTGCAGTTTCTTTTGAAGCACAATCATAAACCCTCACAGTCCAAGTAAGACTCGTTTCAGAAGGCTGCTTTATACTGAAATCAGTTTATATCCAAAATTCAACAAACAGGACATTCATTAGGTATTTGTTAATACTGAAATGTTGAAAAAAATTACGCATTTGAACATCCTTACATGCAAGTGTACCTTACATGGACAGTAAGATTTACAAATGTAGCATCACACAAGAACATCTGGATTTGGTCATCATAGTTAAAAATTTACTAACAGAAACTGAGTTAAACAAGTGAATTTTCCCTCCAATTAAAAAAACATGAAAGCCTCAAATCCCTGTCTTTGACACAATAAATACTCATCCTCTCAATGCAAACGCTTGTAAAAGAGACACTCCTTCATATTTACAAAATTAAAAAAAGGACAAAAAATGTTTCATTGGACAGTTAATGAGCTTTGAGTTTATCAGCAAACACAATCAAAAGCAGCTCATAAACAAGGCTAATGACCAGTACGAGGGCAGTGCTTGAGAGAAGACCAAATGAGAGTAGTGCAAAGAGCAGGTAGAGTAGTAGCAGCAGGATGAGAGTGCGGTAGCTGGCTAGACCTCGCAGACTGAGACGTGCCCGCTGGGGACACCCTCTTGCTTGCCGTGTCGCAGGACTCCTTCGTCGCTGCTCCACAATAGCTGAAGAACTGGTTAAGTAATGTCTACCAACTCGACCCAGCAAATCCTGCCGAGAGCACAGCGCCTCCATGTGATCTCCCCACTGTGTTTGGAAAAAAATATATATAAACTGACTTTAATTGCTAGACTAAGGAGAAAAACAAAGAACACTTTCCAAAAAAGAAAACACAGGTATAACATACATACCCTATCATTAATAAAGGAGGAAACTTTGAACAGTAGCCGGACCAAAAGAGCATTTTCATAGCTTCTAATTGGCTGAAGTTCTGGATCTCCTCGATATTCGATCTCAAATCGGCGAAGACCATTTATGATCTGCAAGAAAGCGAATACGAACACAGTTATTAAATTCTTCTAAAAAGAAATGAAAAAGGAAAGGCGACCTGTTTTAAAAATGTCTATAAAAGTCAAACCTGCATCCGGCCCAAATCTGTGAGCACAAGGCCATTTTCACTCTGGATGCAATCAGGAAGCTGCTTGAACCCTCCATCATCTTCTGTAGATGCCAGATTTGCCATCAACTGAGACAGCTGCCCTGAATTCAGCTACATAAATAAACACCACCATTAAAAAATTAATCCAAGGCTACATATACAAGCCTCATTACTTTAAATCTGATTTTTCTCAGATCCAATCTTTCTAACTTGATGGTTCACATTTGCATGGCTAAGTGATTAATTTCTGTCATTAAGGTGAATGAACCTGTCCCATGAAATGATCTGCATGCACACAATCAACTCAGTAAAACGTAAATAATCTATGTACATCATGAACAAGCACACTAACTAGCAGCTAGTCATCATAATTTGCTCTGAACAGATTTCAGCTATTCATTATTATAGTGAGACGAAGGAAAAATTGGTCAGACTCATTGCTTTTGCAGCATTTACTGGCACTCACTAACTTGCCACTAGGGCTGAATATTTGACCTTTTACATACTTAAATTGCAATTTGAAAGAGTGCAATTTTAATTACATTCTAGATTATATATTTTTCAAGTTTTAATCTAATAATAGAGCTCGTGAACTGGAAGTCTGGCACACTACATTCAATGCATGTGCAGTGGGGAAGACACAATTTCTGATGTGACCATTCTCATTAAGGTTACATGGCCATGAATCAGATATGTATTTGATCTAGAACCACATATGCAGGCCTTAGATAAGATTTGTCACATTAAGACAAAATATTAGATCTGTGCCACTTTAGCCTGGTAATACGAATGTAAGAGAATCCAACTAATCACTTCATCTATAACTTTTCATTTGCCCATGGGGAGTTACTGAGGGCTTCTACGCAGGAGGAAAAAATGGTCCAAGAATTTTTTTTCATTTTATCAAACATCCCATTGTGCATAGATGTGACTGTTATAGCTTTGTGTATTACATGACCATAAGTGATCAACAGACTGACCCGAAATATTTGACACAGGTAGTCCAGGGCTTTGTCCAAGAACTCATGAGTCTTTTTAACACATTCTCCCATGTCATCAGCCTCTCCTCCACTAAAGGTGTAGCTGGGATCAGAGGAGCCCACGCTAAACCATGAGAGGAATGAGTTGTTTGCAGCCGCTTCAGCAGAGTGATCCGATATTCGCTTGGCTGTCTGACGGGCCTGGGCTATGATCTGGATCAGCTTTAAAACCTGCAGAACATCAAAGGAATCATAATACAAACACAATTTCACAATCCCCTGCATATCCTGATGCCTGTCTCAATCTCAATGGTCCATGCAATGCTTTGTAAAAATGATGTAATTCATCATTAAAGCCTCTTGTCATTTAGGCCACAGAGAGTGTTATGTAATATGTATTACCATTAGCAGAAGAGATGCTAAAATTATTATTATTACTATTACTATCATTATTAGTGCTCACCACTGCACGCAGCTCACTGCCAAACATCTGCTTGTACTGGCAATCCTGCCCTTCCAGGCCATACACATGACTTTTGACTTTAAACACGGCATCTGTCCCTGCAGGCTGGCGGGAGGATAGGAAGCTGCCACTGTGTGCAGGTGTGAGGAAGACCCGTGGTTGCCGGTGGTGAAGGACATGCTCTGGCTCGAGAAATAACTGCTCTCCTGAAAGGATAAAAAGCATTCAGAAAGGGTAATGCACAGCCTAGACAGAGACAACTGCACAGCCAAGCCAAAGAAAATGCAGACTCCCTTGATTAATAGTCTCCAAGTAAAATCTATACATTTACCTTTGTGGATCATTTCTGATAAGTTTGGCTGGGCAAAGACTTTGGCTACCCTGAAGACCATCAGTGCGTTTTTGGCATTGACAAGATCTGTGCGCATAGCTCGATTGAGGAAACCCTGAAAGAGCTTTGTGTACATGAGCAGATTCTCTTGAACAAAGGAAGCCCTGTTATTTAAAAAAAAAAATGATTAGGCCAGCAACATGACTGGACGCAACCTAAAAATATGTAACTGAAAAGCAAATGTTGAAGATATTTGTTGTACCTCTATTTCTCTAATCAAAATGCAACTTATTTTACAGTGAAAGTATCCACAAATGTAGAATTTACCATTTGTCAGGGACAGTTCTGTTTTGGACATCTGTCTGGGGATTGTTTTTCTCTCCTGTGTACCTCCAGGGCTGGATGTAACTCAGCCATGTTTCCAATACCTGAAAACATAAGACCAATAAGCCATCACCTATCAGACATCTAACTGTTAACATGACACACCAGTCAATATTAATGCATGTTAAACAACATAAGATAACCAAGACTGAAGAGCACAACAAACACTCACTGCTCTGAAAGAGGCATCCAGAGGCCAGTGACCAAAGCAATGCTGCAGGAAGACATACAGCTTCTGCTGAACAAACCTCTGTATTACCACCCTGTGAGACCCAAAAAAACACAAACTGAGATACTGAAGATATCGGCAGCAGGGCTATTTCAAGCTGCACTCAAACCATCTCCCTTTAAGACTTATATAGTTATAGCTTCAGTTTGCTGATAAGGCACAAGCTGGCTGTGGCGCCTACCTCTTGAACTCTTCGAGGGGACTGGCATGAGAGTGAGTGGAAGGAGAGGAGGCCTGCTCCTGTTTCAAGCTGTTGGAGAAGGCGTGCAGGTGTTTGACGAGCAGACGGACCACCAGTACGTGCTCTTCTGTTGGGCTGAAGGGTTCCTGTTACATCATGCCCACCAATACATAATCACAAAATTAATACTGGCTCTTATTGCATCATAGCATCTGAAATGTACATTTTGCCTTGAAGATTGTATAGCCGGGTTGTCAAACCTGAGTTCCTTCCAGGCCACAGCTCTGCAGAGTTATTGCTCTGCCTCACTGAAAGCACTTATCGGCTAATTAGCATTCCTGGGTTAAATTTGGTGTGTAAGAATAGGGAAAATAATCTCTGCAAAGCTGTGGCCTAGGAGAGACTTAGTTTGACACCTCTGGTCTATACATTTAAACTCTTGATAGCAAGTTCAGTAATTCAATATTGCATAATATATAGAACCTTTGCAAAAATCAACAGTCAAACTTATTTGGTCATTATTAAAGGACAGACAAAAATGCATCTGTCTGGGCAATTTAGGCAGTATATTATGTGAAGTGTAGTAGTGTTTGTATACAGGCTACAGTTGAAGAGGAACACTGAACACAAACCACAAACACATAAGACATGGCACCACACCTTAAATAAAACAAGCATGCATTTTGAAGAAAGAAATGAGATACCAGAAAAGCCTCTTACTTATCTTCAGCATCAAACTTCTTATATAACTTGAGCTCCACACCAAAAACAAATTTGGTCATCTCTCCACAATGCTAATTATAGCAAGCATCACAACTACAGGAACCTTAACTGTACCTGAAAGGTCACGTCTATTTTGCATTGCTCATGAATAATACCACTATTCCCTGGCCTTCCATCAGGACCCCTCAGCTATTTTCCCCCTTACGTTACCTCCAGGAAGCCCATGGAACTGAATGAAAAGGTAAAAGTACTTGGTATGTGTGGAGGGTCCCAGAGCCTGGTGGGGCAGGGGGTTGGCACAGCATGCTGGACATATTGAGGCGGTACTGCAGCAACGCCAGCTGAAGGACCCATCACAAAGTGGGAAGAAGGAAGAGGAGAGGAGGAGGAAAAGAGGAGAGAGGAAAGGAGTAGGAAGGTGAACATGAGAATAGAAAAGAAAAAAAGGATAGAGTGCAATCCAAGAGAAAAGTTGGACGAAGTAAGAACCAAAATGGGGGTGAATAAGAGGGAAAGAAATACAAAAAAAAAAGGACCACAGAGACACAAATGCCATGAAAATTAGCTTGATGCAGAAGTCCTTTTCACAGATCAAAGTAAATATTCACAAAGGCTTTGATGATGCCAAAATTATATAGATTAAATACAAATTCATTGTTCATCCTCAATAAACCATTAAGCAACTACTGTCCTTTAGGACAGGTTAGGTTTAAAACACAGAACAGGAAAAGGAGATTCTGCATCTTATTTATTTTATTTTTTTTTTTTTTACAGATGAGTCATTTCTGAGGCAGTCGCCAATTTACTGTTTTGATACTGTGTCACTCTGAAAACTACTGATAAATTATTTTGTCAAAAATGCAATGTATATTCTAGAGTAAACTGGCGATTACCTATTAACCTCTGTTAAAATGCATACGAAGGCAAAACATCTACAATGCTTAGGGCTGACTGGAGGCAGGCTAATTTTGATAAACACTTAAAATACTATAAAAGCAGACTCACAGAATAAAGTTCACCATAGCAGCTCAGAATCCAGAGAAGCAAAAAAGCTTACAAACAGTCTACAGCCACAAGAGAGAAATAGAGACCAGGGAGCCAACACAAGACATCATGCTTAAAAATGCCTTTGCCCACATGACCAAAAGTAAAAAGGAAGGGGGAACAACTAAGCTGACCACGTCATAGCAAGCCTTTGGATGCTCCAACATCCAGTTCATAGCTTTGTATCCCACCCCCTTAAAGAAATCTAATCTACCAGCAAAGAATTGAAGAAAAATGCAAAGGGATATGCTCTATTCAGCAAAACAAACCCAGGCCCGTGTAAAGGTTGAAGGGAAAAAAAAAAAACTGCATGTCATAAAAATCAATAACCTAGGCATTACACTACACCAGCCACTGACCAAGAGCAAACTGAAGTGGAAGATTCACTCTGTGTTTGCATGTGAATAAGTGTGTCTTCATTTAGCTTATGAAGTGGGTGAGGGATTCGTGCAGCGATGCCCATGTAGCAGAGGTTGGGAGCATGGTTGTAGGGTGGAGGTGCTCAGCCAGTCAGCCGTGCAGTGGAGGAAGAGTGGTGGAGAAAAGAGCTGTGCTACAATCTTACCTTCACCTGAGGGGACTGTAGCTTCTGGTACATCTCCAGAGAGTAGTGATGAAGCCACATCTCCACAAACACCTGCAGAGACAAACAGGAACAAGCTCTGAACTATCCGAAGTTGGCTTGCTTTATCTTCCCTTTCCACTGTTAATGTTAAATTACTTATCATACCTTTAAGCCTTTTTCCACAGACACCATAATATACAATTTCTGCCTGTTTCGGAGTTTCTTTCATAAATCTATGCATTTTTTCTTCAATAAAGTTATATGGAATATATTTAAATGGAAATGTGTGACTTACAAAACTGAGAGCAAACTGAATTATCATCTTTGTCAGTAACTAAACACGTCAACATTAACAGTGTTTTTTTGGGTTTAAATTTTTTTTTTTCTGAAGTTGTACACGATTTTTTGAGATGAAGAAAGCTGTAGTTGTGTTTTCACAGCAGGGGATACTCATCCCTCCCTCTTTACCCCTCACTGCTCACTAGCAGCTCAACAGAGTCACACCATCACACACAGAGAGCCAAGAGTGTCGTACTTAATACGATAGCAGAGTTACGGAGAAAACATTTTATTTAGTTATATTAATTCAAATAAGCTCAGAATCATTCTTGAATACCAGTGCCACCATAATGCCTTAAGTTAATGTGAACCAGTAATCACAATGTGTTTTCCTCTCATGACAAATTTCTGAGTGAAATATGGCATTGGGAGGTCTTCCAGCTAGCTCAGCATTTTCACTTGATAGGTGGGCATATTGGAACGGGAGGTATAACAAGATTTTATTGGTTAATTACTTCACTGAAATAAAAATCTAAGATACTGAAAGAAAACCCGGTTCACACATTCATACAATAGCCTCTAACGTCAAAGAGTCAGACTAGAGGTCTGCTTCCCAACCGACTGGAATTGTATAATTGTAGTTATACAATTTTTTACTTTCAACTTGGCTCGGGTTTGTTTTCTAATGACATTCGTAGTAGATTTGTTTGTATTTGAAAGAATATGCCTACGTAAATTCTGTGCTTTCAATCACCTCTCTTGTGCATGTTCTCTCCCTAATACAGTCTAGTTTGTGCACAAAGTCAATCTGACCGTTAGTCAAGGATAGGGAAAAAAAAAAAGAAAGCTTACAAACTGAACCAAAGACGTTTTCATTGTGTAAATGTGATGATCTGGTCGCTAAGTCAGACTAAAGGCACACTGTGTGTCTATAGCGTCAAGCTCATGATAGTACTTCAAGCTATGACAGCAGGAGGACTGTCACTTTGTCCCTTCAGTGACACACTTGCCATGATGCAGCCATTCCCCTGCAGCCACCAGCGAGAAGCAAATATCAATGTCAGAATACTTCCTTGCAACATTTAACTCAGAGTCGGCTACAGCAAGCGCTTGGCTTTCAGAACATGCCTGTAATAATCCATTTGGGTTTCAAATTTAGCAGTACCAGTTGGGTCAGGTCTCAAAGTTGTGGGTATGGGTTGGGTTTGGGGTTAAACTGCATGTCTGTGCAGACCTCTGTAGTTGCATGAGCTTTTACCTGCAAAAGGGTTTCAGATCTCCAAATCTCCTGAGCAGCAGGGTCAGCATTGACTGAGGGCTGATGAGAAATGTGACGCTTCAGTAGACTGGTGCTGTGGACACCATAACCAACATAAGGCACAGAGGGAGACCTAGGACACAGAACAATCCAAATCAAGTGTGTTGATATAATTTTATTTAGATACATTTCACAGCTCACCCAATGATGTCTAACCTAATGTCACTATGACCTGGCAATGCATGAAAGTACTTTTTATACAAAAGTGATTAAAAAATACCTTGGAGCAGGAGGGGCCACAGATCCTCTGGGATCAGAGAAAGGAGATGGGGGCACGTTTCCCTCTGTGGGTAGGAAGTGCTTGAGGTAGGCATCAACAAGCACAAAGTAAGCACTATCTGAACAGCTCCCATGCTGGCCAGGAGGGTAAGTCTGAAATTTCAGATTTAAAGCCGTTTAGACAGTAAGTTAAAAAAAGTAAAACAGTTAAATTACATCTACTCAATAACAGACAACAGACAAACCTACCTTTGGTACAATGAGACTGGAGGCAAAGTTGAACATGTAGTATTCAAAGGGATCTTGGAAAGATTAAGGATAGACAACCATGTGTGAATTTTTCAGAATGAAGTGCCAGTCTTGAAACATTAAATATACAAGTGGTTTATGCATTTACTAAGAGACATACTGAGTGTTAGCAGGCCTGACATGGGAAACTGAAGTTTGTTGTGAAATAGGGGGCAATCTGGAAGAACACCCTCCTGAATGGATGCTTTCACAGGACCCTGTAGAGAACACAGCACTGTTAATACAGCATCTTTTGAGATGAAGTGCTAGAATATAGTACCAGATGTTTGCTATCTAAAGTCTCTATTGTTTGTACTTACCGGAAGATAACTAATTGGGATCTCATATTTGTAGTCCTCTGCCTGCAGCTTGTACACAAGCTTCATCATGGGGCCGCTGTTGGAAAGACATTACAAACCCTGTCATGTAAAACGATTATGCAAAGACTTTCCACGCTATATTTTCTAGATCAGGGCTGCCCTAAGTGTGAACCATGAGCCATAGCCTGTGAGGATGTTTGATTTGGCCCGACAGAAAGTTACCCTAATCCTACCCTCTGATCCAGTGAGAGAATACACATATTTTGATTTAAGACCGTAACAAATATTTACTAAATTCTTATTTTCTTACTTAAATTCTTATTTGAAAACCATATTCTTAAACTATTCCAACAATAAACTGTAGCAATATACTGATATTTATAATATGACAGAATTCCTTCTTGACACATACCTACCTTCTTTATTTCTATATTGTTTGGCCCTCAGCCCACCAAAAATACTGTGTGTGAGTTTGGAAACCCTTGTTCTAGATTGATTTCATTCAAACAAACAACACTATGAAGGAAACTCTAAGAACATGCAAAGCTGACCTTGGGTCAAGGAAATCCATGACTGTGTTGTACTCATTCATGCGAGTATGCAGAAATCGCAGATTCCAGCCGACAATGACCCCATCCAGGCTGCCAAAGATGCTCTCAACCAGCCAGGGAAAGATGAGATGCAACTCCTGATTGGACAACAGAGTCAAATTTAAACTATCAATGTGGTGTACACAACATTTCAACCACTGAGAACAGAGAGTCTACTTATTCATGTCATGAATGAGCCTCACGAACCTACATTTCTAACCTCTCCAAAAATTTCACCAATATGGGTTGAGCATCCCTCTCCTAAAATCAACCCCAAACTACTACAACACCAGACATATATTCTAATCCAATATGAATTTTACTGTTGAGGTCCAGATTTGATTAAACTTTCAACAACAAAATAAGCCACAAAAATTACAAACCGTAGAATTTCTGAGCAACTTAAAGTACTCATTTGAGTAAGGTTGTGCATAAGCCCCTCTCCGTCTCCGCCCACTCTGCTCCAATTACAAAGCACCCAGATATCTGCTTTTGATTACTGACAGGTATTTCCACAAAAGGTAAATCACAGACCCCCAGATGAGACTGGGCATCTCAGCGATAAAGTTTTTGGCTAAAAGGTAACACTTGGCTATGTCACAAATACCTTATGTGTATGCAGTGTAACTAACCTTAGCAGGATAGTCATCTATCACTTTCACCAACTCCTGGCATCGCTGAAGAAGAGGCTTGTTGGTCCAGTCTGCCTTTAGATTTGCCTGCCCAAAACGTTAATACAGTGAGTGGAGCATCTATGGAACTGTTGTTTCACAAAAGCAAAAAAATACAACCTTCATGCCTACCAGGAGATAACTAACGTTAGGCTGCTGTATAGCTGGCGCAGCCATTGCTGTCCTCGCTGCTGGTGAAGCGGCGCTGCTCACAACCTGCAGTCCAACAGCGCACCTGAGGAGGACGATGTGTTCAAAGTGTCAGTGAACGTTAATCAAAACACAGAGCGAGTTAGCTAAGCTAACTACCTAGCCAACAAAGTTTGACTGAAACCGCATCTATGAAATAGGGTGCTAACGCGGTGCTTGCTAACTTCTCTAACGTTACTTTTCTGAGAGTCGGCCATTATAGTCCGAAATACAGAGGGGAAACTTTCCAATTTTTAGGTCCAGTTTTACTCAGACAGCGACGAAGAAAGTGTCCACATGCGCCATGCCGTTAGCGAGTTAGTTAACAAGCAAGCTAACATAGCTAACACAGCTAGCTGAGCAGCGAAATTACGTTCAGCACTGGTACAGTTAATATCAGCTAACATTAGCTTAGGTTAACCAACAGTATTATAACCTCAGCCAAACAAGGAAGCTCGGGAGTAAAACCAACGATATAACCACTTTACACGAAAAGGGAAGGAAAACAAATATTAATATGAATATATTTATTACCCCGATCAGTTCACGGTACAAGATTAGTTCTCTTACTGAACTCCAGTGAACCGCGTCTACAGCCACACAGGTTTGAACGGGTGGTCTGTACTGTGGCGTCACGTCCTGTGCAGGACGACGGAGCGTTCTGTGCAACAGCGACACCAACCGACAGCACAGTAGAGTGCAGGACGGACGACCTGTGAAAACCTGGTGTTGTTTATTTCCCTCTTTCTTATAGCACACCTTTTGAGCCTTTAATCCAAAATCTCTTGATAACTACGGAGCCCTGATGATGACACCCTGTATAAATAAAAATAATGAGTGGCCGCAAGGCGTGGGAATGAGATGATTATGTCGTGGCCATGACTTAGTAAGGCGTGGGCAAGACTTAATCATCTCATTCCCACGCCTTACTAAGTTGTGGCCACCCATTATTTTTATTTATATAGGATGTCACCAGCGAGGCTCCGTAGATATCCAAAATCCACTCTGAAAAAGTAAAACTAGTTGCCTTTAATACAAGTAAAAAAGTAATAAAATGTTCCTAGTAGGAAACATATTTTAGCACATACAAGATTTGTTCTCACCATGGACCTGTGCTTTTCAATGTTTTTAATTAATTTAAAAAGGAAAAAATATTATTATTAAAAAAATAGATTATTAATACAATAATACAATAATTTAATGTTAAATTAAAAAAAAATTTACATGTAAAAAATTATACACAATTACACGTTTTTACTTGTAGATAGAGTAGGGCAGAATTTGCATACGTAACAAATGAGTTTTCACTAGTGAAGACCAGGATACACTGACGGCACAAACACCAACATACTTCTGTTTGCAGTTGTCCTTTATGTTGTAAGTTCAGGAAAAGAATTCACGACTAGAGTGAACAGGAAGAGTAATCAACAAGTATGGCACACCAACCAAACGTTTGTGTTTGTTCGTGTTTGTCCCGTTGGTGTACTCTGGCCATCAGAAATGAATTTGAACATGTAATAATTTAATATTCAAATTTTTACTTGTGATTTTGTTTTTCAATATTTTTACTACTCCTAACATTTACTAGCTCTAATTGAGTTTCTTGTTCTAAAAGTGCTTCCATTTTCTCTACACGGAGTTTTGCACTGAAGCTTTTGTTGTTGTTTTTTTTTATTTATTTTTATTTTATTTTTATCTCCAACCTTGCAGAAATGTATTATCTAATAATTTGTGACGACAGCGCCTCAAAGAAACGGACACGGGGTCTCTCAGCAGTCGGGTCATAACGTGAAGCTGAACGTTGGAGGAGTCCCATTAGCCTTTTGCACAACGTTATTGTAGATCTGTTTCCCAGCGGTTGAAGATTGCTAACCTAGTGTACTAGTGTTCAACGCTCTGCTCTCCTGTGAAAACATTTATCTCCACTCAACTTCCGTCGAACCATTTTTGAAATGGCGTCTTTGGACGACTACCATTTCTTGGAGGGCTTTAAGAGACAACAAATAAAGCTAACTACGAAAGGTAGTACGTTCATTGGCGTCGTTCAGCGCATTAATCTGAACAAGACAATCATTTTAGAGGACGTGGTCGAAGTAGAAAGTGGTAGGAAGCTTCCCGGAGCTAAACTCTTCTTTGGACACGAAGTCCTGAACATAGAGTTTCCCAGCGTTTCCAGAGGAGATAATGTGGGCAACAGTAGAGACCCTGCCAGCCTGGGCCAGCTGTGTGTGGCTGAGTTCCAGCCATACAGGCGCAGACTGATAGTGGATGATGAAGATGAAGAACATGTGAACTACGTGGTCGTAGACGAGTTCCATGAGAAGTTTGGTCCTGCAGTGATGCACATTAAGAGACAACAAGTGATTGGGATTGGAGCTGATGGAGTTGGTGTGTTCCAGCACGAGAGGCTCTGTTGGCTACAGATTGCCACCAAAAACAAGGTCTATCTCTTTGACATCCTACTGCTTGGGGGCAGAGCTTTCAAGAATGGGCTGTCCATGATTCTGGAAAGTAACCACATACTAAAGGTCACTCATGACTGTCGCTCTATTGCAGGGTGTCTGTTGGCTCAGTTTGGAGTGAATCTCACCAACGTGTTTGACACCCAGGTTGCTGACATCATGCACTTCTATTCAGAGACAGGAGGGTTCCTGCCAGACAGGGTCAGCACGCTCCAGGAGGTGGTCAGCTTTCATCTGAAAATGCCCCTCAGGCACCTTTCGTCTCTCAGGATCAAGACCCAGCTCACAAGGGAGGATAAAGAGGTTTGGTATGTTCGTCCTTGCCCAGTTCCTCTGCTGAAGGTCATGGCCTTGTCAGTGATCCACCTGCAGCCTTTGCGTCTAGTGCTCCTGGATGCCCTCATGAGTGACTATACCAGCCTTGTGGACTCCTACCTGAGAAGCAGCCAAGACGAGCCTGTGCACACGCAGCACATTGGCAAGAGTGGCTTGGAGCTTCCCAAGGAGCTGCGAGAGCTGGAGGTGATTAGGGAGGAGCGACAGGAGTGGGCTGTGAACCATTACCCTGTTACCGAAGACGGCCTCCTGGAGCGCTACAATGTCAAGCCTTCCTTGGAACCACCAGATCCTCAGAGTGTGGAGTGTCCTGGGCCAGAAGAGACAGCCTGCCCTAGGCCATCTCTGCTAGAAGGTGAGTCAGCCTTTCCTGAGACATTTCCAGCCCAACTCACCAGAGCTAGGTCAGCGCAGGATTTTACTGATTTCACAGCACTGGGTAGAGGGAAGCCACCAGATAAAGAGAGCGCCCCCATCACCACAGCCGTCCCTGTGTTAGGAAGAGGGTTTACCGTGTTGCCGCCAGTAGAGGCTCCCAGAGAAAGTCTGCTGCGCAAGGAGAGTGAGCCAGTAGTTCCTGATGGTCTGGATTCAGTCTCTCATCTCCCTCTCGTCTCCCTCATGGCAGGTGTGGCCCAGAGGGGGTCCCATCCAGCTACTGCACTGTCCTTGGGCAGAGGGCTCTTCAACACACCAGTAGGCTTGGCCTCCGCTCGCAGTCTCTCCTTGAGTTCCTCTTGGAAGCCATGTTAAAAAGGAAGTGTGGAAAGTTAATGACTTTGTTTTAAACATCTTGTGCTTCAGTTTTTAGTTCGTTTGGTAAAAACTGTGAGGTCTGACATAGAAGCAGTTATTTTGGTTTGTTAATCTATGTGGTTGCCTTTTGTAAGTCATAGCTTGACCAAAGCGTTGAGGTCATTCTTGTAGTTCTAACAAAATGACATTTAAAGCACTTGTTGGATAAAACATTGAGCCTTGGCATGCCATTTCTCATTATTATTTTTATTTCAGATATATTAAGTCAAGTGCTTCACTTCCTTGGAGAGTACATCTGAACTGCAATGCCTTGTTATGTAGGTAGGTGGCAGTGTTGCCCACAGAGTGAAAAAGCATCGCTTTTCCAGAGTTTAATCAGTTCAGTTAATGAGTGAGATTCTGATAAATTGCTTTGAGTGTACTGGAGTTTCTCTGGAACATATCACAGCATAATGTGAATCCTGTGATGTACCCGTTTTCATTGTGATCTCTCATTACAATAAACATTTGACTTCACATTCAATGACGAGCCATTCAGTTGTAGTAAATATAGCCAGTGGTCTACAGCTGCCCAACAGGAAAAATTTATTTTGATGTCTTTCATTCTCTCACAGAGGAGCCTGAGTTCGTGGCTGAAAAAAGAGAGTCCATTATGAACCAGTCCCCGAGGCATGGTCATTTCACAATATAAGCTTCCTTTCACCAGAAAAAAAGAGCAAAAGAAGGAAAATGTCTCTGCACTTTAGACTATTCTCCAAGTCTTTATGCCATTCTAAACTGTTAAGTGCCTATAAAAAAAATTCCATGTACAGGCACTTTACTGCATATAGCGCACCCCTGTTTAATTCAAGTGTATTCATCCTTCACAAATACCCTTGGAGCATATTGTTCGGCTGAAAAATTGCACAATGTGTTATAGTGATTAATCAATGACTGGTTAATTCCATTACATTAAATTATAGCGCTTTAATCATCTCGTTTTATTGCTGTGATATTCTAGTTCAGTTGACCAGTGGACGCCTTGGCTTTGATGGACATTTAAAATTTGATGCTGCTGTGTGAAGTGTCTCTCTATTTTTAGTCTCTTCTGTTACAAACTAATTTGCTTTGAGCCCTTCAGTTTCAATGTTGAGGGGAAAAAAGAAATAGAAAAAAAAAAATATTGTCAGCAGTGTGATAGCGCTGTGATGACGCAATAGATGTATACAATATTGAAAGTTAACTTTGATTCTGAGCTGTAAATACTTTGCTGCTGTTGCTGTGCCTTTGCTTCACCCTTATGGGAATATGGAGCTTGAATTATGAATCCTATGGCTGGACATGTTGAACCAAGAGTTTATATAAGCGTAAATCTGTCAGGTTTGTTTTCATTGGGTTTTGTGAGGTGTGGGGGAAAAAAAATCTATCAGGTTATTTTTATGACCGCAGGCATGGCTGGAGACAATTCTCCTGTCAGGAAAGCATCCCAACCCCACAGAGACTATACTGTACTGTTCTTTAGGGATAAACAAAAAAGCAACAAAACAAACTCTAATGCAGATGAGCAGCTTACAGTGTCTAATCTGAAGCAAGTTATGAAATGGAATGAGACAAGTGAGTGAAAAGTTTGTCAGCACAATAACAGCCTTCATTACACACTTGATGCTGCGTCAGTCAAGCTGATGTCATCAACAAAGCCACTGTCTACAGCACAGAAGCCTGTCAGATCACACAAAGCACCAAAAACTTTGGTAATTAAGAAAACAGTTGATTAAGCATAAAGAGGGTGACAGATTTGAAGTTTTGGGATACATTATCATTACATAAATTATGAATTCAGCACCTGCAAATACACCACCATTCAAAAGTTCGGAGTCATTTGTCATAATTGTTAGCAAATAATAACTTTATTTAGATTAAAATGTATGTTATAAACTAGACACCAACATGTAAAGTGTTTTGGGAACAACAAGAAAGCAAAAACTAGCAAATTATTATTAATATTAAATAATATGCTGTAATTTTCTATTTCTAGTTTTTTCTCCTTACAAAACAACTAAATTGCTTTTTGATCAGTGAGATTTGGTCACTGGTTTTTGAATATAAGGCACTCTATATAACTTATTGTAAATTTATTCTCATTCCTATACAGCATATGTATATGTGTGACTATGTATACCTGTGTGTGTGTGTGTGTGTGTGTGTGTGTGTATGTATGTGTATATATGTATATATGTGTATATATATGCGGAACAAAGTTGGTTTTACATTATTTAAAATCATCATTCCAAACTTTTTTACTGTAATACTTCACATAATATATCTTACTATAAATTATTTCACATAACATAGTAAACAACATGACAAAGAATGAGAGATGCTTTTGTAAATTGCAAACTTTATACAAAATAAAGCATTTATTACACAGAAGCATCTGTAATTGGCAACGATAGTGATAGCATAATTAGACTAATCATTTGTTATAGGTATTGCATTATTAGGTACAAAAAAAAACCCTATAACCTAACCTATAGGTTAAAAAAAGCAAGCCTAAATGGCCTTGTTCATACCACAATAGACTGAATGTCAGCCCTGAAATAGATTAAAGAAGTGTCAGATTATTTCCTGTATGATAAAATTAGCTATAGCTATAGTGCACATACATGTATGGTGACTATTTGCCATTGTGTAAGACACTACATCAATATGAAATTACACATTATGAAAAAACCTGCTTTGAAAGGTTGTCACAGAAGCAAAAAAATAAATATCCTCTCATTCTGCCCTTAATGATTGTTTGAGACCCCCTAGTGACCCCCTAGTGCTTTCAAGACAGAGCTCCTTTGAGAATCAAAAATAATGCTCACAAAAAGGACAAAAGAGAGACATGAAATATGAAGTTGCTCTTTTATTCCTTATTTCTTTGTTGCCCAGCACATGTTTGCCACATCTTTGGCTGCTAATCAGCTAATGTTAATGCAGGCTGTATTAAATTATACTGTGTAAACATAGAGTAACAAGACAGTCAATGACACATTCACTCTTCCACAACGCCTTCAAAGCAAGGACGGTAATAACGTTTTGTGTCCATAGATGGCCTTCTCCTCCCTTATGATCTAATTAGGAAGATAGGAAATTACATACCTCTGCGCTGTCATGTTTACTCCGGCAAGACTTGTACTTCCTACCACGGAACGATCCCCAAAGATTTCCACTGAGACGTGTTATCGCATGGTCTCACTTGCACAACACTGTTATTTGTTCGCCACGCTTCGCTCTGCTGAGGGTTAAACGTCTGCAAAATTCCACACAAACTAGACACTTAAGTAATGAAAAGATAGCTTTGTCTTTGGCACTGATAAGAAGACAATTGTAATTTAAGTTTCCTCTCTCTCTGGCTTTGTGTTATTTTCTCTCTGTTTTTCACCTCCACTTCTTTCTGAATTGTGGAGCAGACAAAATAAAGGCATCTGCTGCAATTCCATCCCCATTGCCCCTGTGGCAAATTGGCCCTTTATCAAAGGCAGGCCTCATCTATCAGCGCAAAGACGGGTATTGAAATTGCTCTGCTGCCCACAAATCAGGCCAATGGATCAGCCCTTATCTGGAACAAGGCCGTCATCACTCTGGTGCTGGGCAGAGCACAGGAGGGACAGAGGAGGACGGCACAGAGACCTTTTTCACCACTGATGGATGTGACCTTCCCTTGACCCTTGGACAGCAAGATCACTTGATGTGGAAGCTAACCTTTGGTTAGTAATGAGGCCTATTCACTCTTTCTTTCTGCTTTGTCTTCTCCTTGTCGATGCGGAAAGATAAAAAAGACATTTGGCACAGAGGGCAGGGAAGGATATATATATATATATATATATATATATATATATATATATATATATATATCAAAGCAGAAAGGAATGCACTGTCATTTTAATCAAATGGATTTTCACTGTAATTTATTTATGATCTATTTTGTACTTAAAGAAAAAAGATCTGCACATCCATCTATGTAAAGCACAGACGAAATGAAGACCAAATCTGTAATGTAGAAACTTTGGAAAACGGAGAAACTTTGCAGTGTATAGAGACATACGATGCGACTTGTTTTTGCATCCATCTTCCTGGAGTTCTAGATAGCTGTAAAAGGGCCCTTATTCTGCATTACTCTTGTATTTTTTTTTTGTTTTTTTAACCTGAGGTTCACTTACAATGTTTGTGCTGGTACCAAGAGCAGTCATAATTCCTTTATACATGACCATTTTCCAACCTCTTTTTATCCCTTGGAATTAAACAGACTGCCTTTAAACTGCTGCAGGCTCAGTAGGTGTATATATGTAAATATGATGGTTTGCATAACATCACAAAAACGGTGAATTTAAAACAGGCTGATTTTGCAGCTTAGTTTCATATATGGACTGGGGAGTGAATGGTTTAGAAACCTTAACAATGTGTACATGCTAAATCAAACTCTTTTATTAAAATGAGGAAATTCAAGTATTGAATGTTTGAGCAAACACAGGTACACCATGATTTTGAGCTGTAGTAAAATTTCTTGACATAAGACTGATGACTTCCCTGATTTTTTTTTTTAACTTCATTACATGTAATGCCTACAAGTCCTGAGCCTTTGTGTAATGATCACATTACCTTTCACATTACCGATCGAAATGAATGCAAATTGGTAATCAGAAAGCATTTTTCGTCCTTACAGTGGTGTGAAATGGGGTATCCGGTGGGGTGGGTCATGATGTAAACATAATTATTGGTTAATATTCTTTTTCCATGCCAGCTGATGTATGTGATGCAATCAGAACTTTTCAAAGGAGGCAAAAGTTACATCACTTTGATCAAAGATTACGGGAAAACAAGAATTTTGCCATTTAAAGATGAAATTGGGGAAATGAACTAACAAGGTGAAAAATGTCAGATTTTAGGTTGACTTTAATTTTGTACTAATCTCACTTGACCTCATCCCATCTTATCACTTGGTTATTGTTATGTATTATTTCATTATTATATACACCGATCAGGCCTAACATTATGTCTTTGTTTCTATGCTGATTGTCCGTTTTATCAGCTCCACTTACTATATAGGTGCACTTTGTAGTTCTGCAATTACAGACTGTAGTTCATCTGTTTCTCTGCCTACTTTTTAGCCCCCTTTTACCCTTACCTTTGTTCTTCAGTGGTCAGGATCCCCATGGACCCTCACAGAGCAGGTACTGTTCGGGTGGTGGATCATTCTCAGCACTGCAGTAATACTGATGTGGTGGTGGTGGTGGTGTGTTAGTGTGTGTTGTGCTGGTACGAGTGGGTCAGACGCAGCAGTGCTGCTGGAGTTGCATGATGTCATTAAATGCAGCTGTTCAGGTAAAACGTATCCCAATGAAGACTTTCAAAAGCAACCAATAAACGTGACACATCTCTGTAGAGGAGTTTCTGTAATGTACTGTTTGATATTTAATTACTATTTGATAATTTATTTGATGTATAAAAAAGTTTGATGTAAAATATAAAAACTGTTAAAGTTTCAAAACATACCAATCACTCCTCAGTCCATATATGAAAACTAAGCTTCAAAAACAGCCCATTTTGAATTCACCATTTTTGTGATGCATCTGAAAACAATGCATGTTATTATGTGCCTGTTTAGCCCCTCCCATTCACACTGAAGTTATAAGGAGTGTTCCAGCCCAAACAGATTTTTGAATGAGGCACAGCACAAACAGGCCAGCCAATCAGAACTGAGCTAATTTACGTATATCATTCTTAAAGACACAGTAACATAAGCAGTCTGTTTAATTCTAAGGGATAGAGCGGTTGGAAAATGGTCATGTAAAAATGCATTATGACTCTTTTGCTACATAAAACCACACTGTGGAACTCAAGGAGAAAGATAAAATACAGGACAAATGTAGGATATTGGTCCTTTAAAGTCAGTTGCTGAGACATTTTCACACCCCACTTTCCACAGTCCATCGCAGCCAGCCACAGTTGTCGCCTACTTGAACTAAAGTAGTGAAGCGCAGCAGGTCCCTCACTTGCCCTAGGTGCTCAGAGATCAGTGGAATTATAATGGAATTTGAAACAGGCCATTCTAGGAAGCTGTAGCCATTTTCCCCACTTTGTGTGAGGCGTTATCAGCCTCATGGGAGTGAAGAGGGACCTTCCCACTGTTCAGAGTGAATGTGGCTGGCAGGGAAATGTGTGGGGTAGAATTTGACTGGCAGCGGGAGCCTGCAGAGAGTTAAGCGGGTTGTGACTCAAACTGGCTGATAAGAGGTGGGATTCATAAATGGGAGCATGGACCAAAATACATCTATTTTCCCTTTCTATTCTCTTATCAGCACCACGGGGTGCCACTGAAATTATCAGCTGGAGAGCTGATAGCAGTCCATCAGGAGCTCGATTCACCACAAGTAAATGAAAAAGGGCATAAGTTCAAAGAAACTATGACACACTTGCATCACTCTAATGTGCAATGTATAGAGGCAATTACATTGTCACGAACTGTAAGATATTCAAATTTCTGCATTTATCCATATTGACTCTTTTTCTTTGCTTTACTTTGACACAGTGAGTAGGCCCATAGTGCATTATTACTACTGCGTGTAGTCAGTGTCGGGACAAAACTTTGTATCTCCAAAACGGTACGTTTATAGAAGAAGGTAAAATGTTTTAGTTTAAATATATCTTAACTAATGCATTGTTTCTTCAGGAATGCTAATGGAATTTACATAATACGGCCAAAAATATGTGGACATCTGACCATCACACCTGAATAAGCTTGTTGGGCATCCCATTCCAAAACCATGTGCGTTAATATGGAGTCTCCTATGGCTGTAACAGCCTCAGCTCTTCTGGGAAAACTTTCTGCAAGATTTTGATGTGTCTTTGGGAATTTGTGCCTATTTGGTCAAAGAACATTTGTGAGGTCAGGCACGAGAAGGCCTGGCTTTGAATCGACATTGTAGTTCATCCAAAGGTGTTCAGTGGGGTTGAGGTCAGGGCTTTGTGCAGGCCACCTCCAAACTGTGTCTTTATAGACTTCGCTTTGTGCACAGGGGAACAGTCTTGGTGGAGCAGGAAAGGGCCTTCCAGAACATGTTGCCACAAAGATAGAAGCATATAATCTAGTCTAAAATGTCTTTACATGCTGTAGCAGTAATATTGCCCTTCACTGAGTGCAAACTTTACTGTTCATTCCAGTAGGTAGCGTTTTCCTGGCGTCTGCCAAACACAAATTCATCCATCATGACTGCCAGATAATGAAGCGTAATTAATCACTCCAGAGAACGCGTTTCCACATGAGTTCAGTGGTGCTTTACACCACTCAAGCCAACACTTGGCATTGCATTTAATGATCTTAGGCTTGTGTGCAGCTGCTCAGCCATGAAAGCTCATTTCATGAAGATCCTGATGTATCATGAGTTCTTGGACTTATGTTGCTTCCAGACTCCGTTTGGAACGCTAGTCAGTGATGCAACAGAGGACAGGTGATTTTTACGCATTACGTGCTTCAGCACTTGGCAACCCTGCTCTGTGAGTTTGCTTGGTCTACCACTGCATAGCTGAGCTGTTGTTGTTCCTAGATGCCTCCATTTCAGAATTATAGCACTTACAATTGACTGGGGTAGATCTAGCAGGGCAGAAATTTCATTAACTGACTTGTGGCACGTTTAAAATCACTGAGCTTTTCAGTACAACCCATTCTAGTGCCAGTGTTTGTAGATTGCATGACTGTGTGCCTGATTTTATATACCTGCTAGCAGTGGTGTGGCTGAAACACCTGAACTCAATTAGGAGGAGTGTCCACATACTTTTAGCCATGTAGTGAATTTTGGAACTGTGTATGATTCATTGTTCATTGTTCTCTAGCAGCTCAACATAGAGACTTAACAATTTCCACACAGAGAGCCAACAGTGTCCTAGTTAATCTGTAACTAAGGATAAAATATTTGAATATGTTAATGAAAAATATCAGAGTCGATTTCCACTCCGCTGGCAGAATGGCCACTAGGTGGCCTGCAAAAGAGGCTACTGTTCCAAGTAATTTTAGACCCTTTCTATTGGCCCATTTGTCATGAAATGTTCACAAAATGTAAAGAGCACTTGAAGACCTGGTATGAAAAAATTGGGGTCACAAAGTTTTAATAAGGCAGCAAAGATATGCAGGAGCATATACAACACGTGAGGGCCCTGTCTACGTGAACATCTGAGACAATGTTTATTACTATTCCTTATGTAAAATATACTAAGTTTGATGAAAGAGCAGTTATGCATAATTTTCAGTCCCATTATGTTTCATTGCAAAGATTAAAACATAATCATAAAACAATATATCCCCACCAGTTCTGCAGGCATGACACTGAATAAATGAAACACATGTTTTATATCATGCCAGCTGAGGAGCGATAACTGTGTGCAATCTTCATTAGTGATACGTGAGGCTGCATACAGGTTCATTATGCAGCCCCTAATCCCAAATGAGCTGCATCTCTGAATGAATTAAAAGCAGCAACTTCATTTACTGCCTCTTTGTGGAAAAAATGAAGATCTTGGTTCATCTCCTTTCTTCCAATGGTGAGGTGCAAGAGTGATAATGCAGTCTTAATGGGACAGGAGGGGGTCGTCACAGAGCAGGCGGTTCGTCTTCAGGTTCTAATGATTATTTTAGCTGAGTGCTGTAATTGGGTCACAGACTGCAGTAAGC